CCCCCTTTTTTTTGTCAGTTTATATCAAAACTAGAAATAGGTGTACCTCGAATAGCCAGTGGAATTGCCGAACAGCGTCCGCAGTGCCTTGGAACCAATTTTTACCCGCCTCACCCGGCGTTTGCGTGGCCGCCAAAACCTGTGAAAAAATACAAAACACTCGGTGGGCCCAGCCTGAAAATTAATTGAACTTCTTGCATGTATTTTCTCCTATCCAAAGTCCCACACCAATTTTTTTCACTTCTACTTCCAATTTTGAGCAACTTTTGTTATGCTTTGCTCAATTTATACAAAGAGTAGCTCACTGTGCTTATAAGCTAGGCTCGTTTTCCCAAAATTAATCAATGTGGGAAAACTCACACAATAGAAACATTCCAAAATGCACTGACATACTAGTTAAACTAAACGTACCTCAACAAAGCCATCCCCGAACGTAACCCCACGGCCAACAGAGTTGTAGGCTCGTGCGAGATGGCGGTTGAGTGAAGCTGAGTTGAACTGTGTGAGGATATACACTTTATTGATGCCACTATTAATGCAGTTGCTCATTGGCACGTCAATCAGCCTATACGCTCCTCCTATCGGAACCTAATCAATTTTAACAACATCAACTTCAGCAAGGGAAAAATCCAATTAATACATTATGAGCACATAATGACATCATCTCATAGACGAGAGAAATAATAAAGGGTGCGTAGAGACTCACGGCGGGCTTGGCCCGACGTTTAGTGAGAGGGAAAAGACGAGTGCCGGCCCCACCTCCGAGAATGATTGCCACGGCTGTTCTTGGATCTCTCTTCTCCATATCAACCTCTCTCAACTGTCATAAAAAACATTACAAACATCTCTTAAAGTCTCACCAAACAAATACTTATGAAAATTTGTTCGAAGGGAACAAATGTTAAGGGTTATATTTAGTTTTGTAGTTCATTCATGCTTGGATGAAGCTTCTTAAAAATCTTTTTGCTTAAACGAGATATTAACTCACCTTAGTCTCACCTGAAAAATCAGCTGTAAGTGAGTTGCGGACTCGAGGAGTGGTAACGATAGCACGGTTTTTGCTCCTTTGAACAAAAGGCGCAAACTTGAGCTTCTCGCCCATTAGTTCTCCATGGCCCAAGTTTACCGCTGATTTCCCATTTCTGCCGGAAAATCTTGCCGGATTGTGTCGTACATGTCCGGTGGCTGACGGGGCCATGCGCCCGGTTGCAGCAACCGCCATTCTTGGAGCTAACTGGTTTTGTTGCAGAGGTGAAGTGATAATTTTCAGGGGATAATGATAATTATAGTTAATAATTTTATTTTTTTTAATTTTTTTTTTAAATTTTGTAGGGATAAAATTTTGTGTGTTTATTTTATTGTTTACATGGGGTGCATGCTACTGATTAGCTACGACATGTTATCCTGATTCAGTTATGTCCACTAGTTTTTTCTTCTTCTTCTTCTTCTTCGTCTCTCTTCTTTTGTATTCATGTGAACCATTTTGCAAAAGAATAAAAAGGTAAAATCTTATATTATAATTTATTATTATTGAATTTGAAGCTATATTTATTTGGCCTCTAATGGGTTTTTGCTTTAATATTTATAATATAAAACATAAATATACACACACACATGTTCAAACTTTGTGACCTTCCAATATCTGATAAAAGTTATATTACATTGTAGTAAAAAATTATACAGACTAATAATACAATTTTATTTTATTTTTTTTCGAATATGGGACAATATTTGATAGAGCAAAAAACACTGCAGTCTAGCTTTAGTTGTGTTTAGGTGTATCCTTCTCTTCAGTCATCACAGTTCATCAATCATTCGAGAAAAAGTCTCGGCCAAACTATTCTCAGATTTCATAGCCTAAAAGATCTCTCCAGGTAACTTCGGGTTCAAATACTTGTATTTTTTACCTTGTGAATGAATGTTTTGGGGTCGATCACAAAGATAAAACAGTTGTAGTTGCCATTTTTTGGTGATTCCATGGCTGGCACTACTGAGGCCTGTGCTCGATTTTGGCCCTTTTATTCAACGATATTTTCGTGTCTATAACTTCTTATAAGTACAAATTGCACGATCGTTTTCCATAAACCGGATTCTATCGAGGCAATACAATAACTTCTTATTTCAACCGGGTTCTATCCCGGGAATACAATAACGCAAAGCAAATTCCGCACCTCAAAAGTTCCGAATCCAAACTTTATCTTCACACATACTACACTTACCAATGGCGACTGGCAGCCCCGAAGATCTTCCTTAATAAATCAGTTTGTTGCACTCCCGAATACGTAATATCTTTTGTGTTTACGGTGATGGGGGGAGTTTTCAGGTGCTCTTTATTTTGGGTCTTGTTACCAACATGAATTTTCTTAGTGCAATCATTAAGACCCAAGTGGTCTTGGTGATTTTCTCCTTTATCATCAAAAGTAGTGCTGATGTGAGGACGGTCTTCAGCATTTGTGCCTGCAGCCCTTTGAAGAAACCAAGTAAACCTTCTTTGTCCCAGATAGAATAGATTGTTCCTGTCACTGTTTTACGGGATTTTGGTCGGGTCTTGCCTTCTTCATTTTCGTCGTCCGACTTTGCTGACTGAATCATCACCTTACACCTGTGTGTGTGTTGTTGTGAACATCTTAGCTATTTGATGATTAAAAAGGAATTATTTCAATTTTTACCCCATTTAGCTTAAATTACAAAGACCTTCAATTTTCTCAAAAGATTATGAATCCGCCCTTGAAGAATTACCATCATCCCCCTTCTCTCTCTCTCTCTTGGAGGTGATATTTTGAAATAGAAACAAACCAGAATGAGATATTATAATTTCGAAGTTAACTGAAGGCTTTTTTTTT